TCGTGCCCGGTAACTACGTCGACCAATTGATCTATCTTAGGTCAGGGAAAGCTGTCTTTTGGATAAACTTTGTTGAGATCAGTGAAGTCAACACAGACTCTTTTTTTTTTCTATTTTTCTTCTTCACCACCTTGGTGTTTGATACTAGGTCAGATATTGTACTTCCCTGATGGTTTTGGACTCCAACAATTATGCAACTTCCTTTTTCACTGCTTCCTGATGTTGAGATGGCAACCTCCTGAGCGTTTGCTTAACTTGCTTGAAGCTAGGGTCAACGTTTAGTTGGTGACATGCCACTTCTGAAGGTATGCCAGACATATCACTCATGCTTCAAGCGAAAACATCGGCACATTCTCGGAGTAGGTTGACGAGCTCGTTTTGTTGTTCGGTGCTAAGAGCCATTCCCAACAAAAAATACTTATCCTGGTCGTCATCCTCGTCTAAAGGTACTTTAGACAAGTCTTCGATTGTTCGGTCGGTAACTTCTTTTTTTGTGTCTAAAGGTACTTTAGGGCTTTTCATGACAATTTCGCAGATGGAGTCAACCGAGCTTTCTAGCATTGATTGCTAATTCATCTCCTCGGCGACCGAGCTCTTTTCTCGAGCCTCTATTTCGTCTCTGGCTTTGACTTAGGCAAGTAAGCAAGTTCTGGAACTTACTTGGTCTCCTCTAATATTGACTATTCTTTCAGACGAAGGGAATCTCAATATCTAGTGATACATTGAGCGTACCATCTTTATCTCGTGTAGCCAAGATCATCCCATAATCGTGTTATAAGCCGAGACTGTGTTAACTACCAAAAATTCAGTCATGGTACAAATTGGTCCAGTCTTCACAAGCAATGTGATCTTCCCCCTTGGTAGAACCATTTTTTCGCTAAAGCCTATCAGTGGAGTATTAGAAGGTTTGAGATCCTCCTGCTTGAGACCTAGCTTCTTGAAAAGGTCCATGTACATAATTTCAGATGAACTCCCTGGATCAATCAAAACAATCCTTACATCGTAATTTGCAATTCGAAGCATAACAACTAAAGCGTCATTGTGTGGCTGGTGAACCCCGACCAAGTCTTGCTCGGTGAGGTAAATAGCCTCGGTTGACTCTTCCACCTTAATCCTTTCATTCCTAACCTTGGGGGTCAATCGTAGCTGATAGACTTCTCTTTCATTTGCAGCTTTCTGAATGTATGCCCTGGGAGCTTTATTGGTCGACATTTGTAGATTCGTTGCAGCATGGATAACATCTATTACCCCTGCTATTGTGGTCTAGTTTCCTTTTGGCTCGGATCTTCCTCCATCGATTCTTGCTTTGTCTTCGATGAACTCAGTGAGGTGTCCAGCCTGGACCAGCCTTTTCCAAATGCTACTTCAAAGATCAACAATTCTCGGTCATGTGACCTACATCCCGATTATATGAACACTTGAAGTTAGGATTTCTTTTTGAAGGATCCCCTGTTAGCTTATTGGGCCACTTGAAAAATGGCTTCCCCTTGATTTGAGTCAAAATCTTATATATTGGTTCCTTGAATAGTGTGTTTACCCCCAATGAATGGAGATTTTTGGGGAAATCCTTCTTTCTCATTCTTCCTTCCACCTTCCCTGTTCAGTTCAATTTGCCTACCATGGCAGAACTACGTCCTACTTTGGTGTTGCTTACCCACATCTCTGGATAAGTCATCGTTGACCTTGGCATACTTCTCGATTCTTGCCATTAGTTCTTTCAAGTCTGTGGTAGGCCTCCTAGTAAGAGATTGTTATAAGGGATTCTCCTTTGGCAACTCGATCATGAAGGATGCTACTACGATTTCAAGATTGTATGCTTCTACCTCATTCATTGTCTCCCAATAGCGATGAGTGTATTATCGCAAAGTTTCATTATTTTGCTTCTTTAATGTCGGTAGAGCCCCGATATCCTTGGGCTGTTTGCTGCTCGTAATGAACTGAGCTGTAAATTACTCGGCCAACTGTGACCATCCTTCTATTGACCCCTTCGGCAAGCTGTCGAACCATTTCATGGCTGACTCCCCGAGGCTGCTGGAGAAGATGGTGCAGATCAAGGGTTCGTTCCACCGATGAATGGTAATCAATTGTCTGAAATGTCTGGTGTGGGAGGCTGGGTCGGTCTTTCCATCATACAGCCTGAAATTTAGGATGGTGAATTTACTTGGGATATGCCCCCTTTCAATCCACAAACGTAAAAGGAGATGACTTCGAACCATCACCGTATTCTCTTGTCGCCCTTCTGGTTAGGTCCCTTGCCAATCTCTGTTTTAGCCTCTTCAAACGGTTGTTCAGCTCTTTGGTGATGTACTACTTCCAGGAGTCCTCGTCCAGAACTCGAGATCTTTTTTGCTAGTACTTATCATCCTCGGCATTCTTGGTTCTATCACGTTGCTTTTCGGGACTTGCTCGTCGACTTTCCCTTCTTGCTTTTCTTTTCTAGTCATTTCCTTCAGCCTGGCTTTCAATTCTTCATTTTCTTTTGTCAAGGAGTGATTTTCCCCCTCGACACCGAGGGATTTACCACGATCTTCTCCTCACTGGTTCTAATTCCTGGTTCGTTTGAAGCTTGCTAAGGATACCTTGTCATCCTCGTGGGGCACAGATGGGCTTCTGTTGATTTGCAACCTAGCATTGCTATCAGATGGATATGAGACAGGATTAGAATAACCCAAGGCAAAACTACCTACAGGTGATCCAATGGCACTTCTAAGTCTTGACATCGCAGCTTTTTGTTTCGATTCATGAAAATCTTCCCACAGACGGCGCCAAAAATGTAAGAGATAAAAAAATGACAAACCTCTCACACGTATGAAGAATTGGTATTTCCATTAAAGATATGTTTCTGTACTAAATCTCCCAACCTTCTTCCTTCTACAAAATGAATAAACTGTCGAAGATCGAAGTGCTTCATTGAAGGCACTCCGATGCTTAAGTCAGTAATGAGTTTGAATCAATTGCAAGAAGATAAGAAGAGTGCAACGTACCTTTCACCTTGGCTCCTTTTCCTTTTTATAGACCCTATTCAGTTAGAGTTTCCATGAATTTTGATTAAATGTGACACACCTTCCTTCAATTGAGCGATTCAGTTTGGAAAGTTGCTGAAATCTTTCCAGCAGTTTCCTTGGCCTATAATTAAGCTTATTAGCTTATCTTGGATGCCTAAGTTTTCGGTGAATCTTCATCTTTCCATTTACTATTTCAAAACAGCTCGGTCATGATGAGAACCAAATTCTTTTGTTACTTTGAACAACATGATTTGGTAATGGCCGACCTCTTTCATTGCTTCGCCGAACAATTGGATTGTTTGACTGATATCATCTTCACGTGTCTTGCCTTGTCATCCTCACGTGGGCTCATTTAATGTCATAACACGTGTCATAATGGAAGCCACCCCCTTCAGAGTGCAATGTTATTTTTCATATGAGCGAATTTGTCTGATTAAATGATTAACTTTACGTAGTTTGCATGTAATTTACCCTGGTTATAATCCTTACACACGTGCCTTGCAATCATCAATGTGTGGCCATCAAATTAGGGTGTGGTAGGGAAAGACGAATTGAAGGAAGTTTTCCTGAAATCNGCATGTAATTTACCCTGGTTATAATCCTTACACACGTGCCTTGCAATCATCAATGTGGGGCCATCAAATTAGGGTGTGGTAGGGAAAGACGAATTGAAGGAAGTTTTCCTGAAATCTGCCTTTTGCTTTGGCAGTGTCTAGAATAAATGTGATCAGATTAGCGGCCTAAGTTGGGCGGGCCAACTTGAATTTAACTCGAACTCAACCTAAAAAAAATAGAGTTTGAGTTAGAATTTTTAATACTTCGGTTGGGTTAGTGCAAAAAAAATTCAACCCGAATTGAATTCGGGCAAGCTTCAAGTTCAGGTCTTAGGTTGTTGAGTTAAACCCGAATATTAAAATCGGGTTGAACTCGATTATTAAATTAGGTTGAACCCAAATATATATAAATATATATAACTAGGGTTAGTATTTATTTTCACTTTTTAGAGTTCATACTTTCACTTCACTTAAAGTCTTCATCTTTATGCCTTCATCACTCTCAAATCCCTCTCTCACTCGTCAATCATCTCTCATCTGGTCTCAGACTCTCAGCCTCCCTCTCTCACTCATCCCTCCTCCCTCTCTCAATCGTTACTTGTTTGAGTCGTCTCGGACTCTCCGCCAACCTCTCTCACTCGTCAATCTTCCCTCTTTTATTAACCCAAATTAAGTAACCCGAATTAAACTCACGTAGTACTCGGGTTGAGTACCTTGAGTTGATGAAGGGTTAGAGTTGAAGATTATATATCTAGGATTGGACTAGAGTTAACCTCTCAACCCATCCAACCCCCCTCGAGTTGCACCCCTAGATTAGATTCAGAGGATGCACCTCCTGTAGGGTGTAGAAGAATTCCCTGGAGGGGAAATGCTTGGCAACTACAATTATCTTTGTTTAACTTTTTTTTACGAAAAAAAAGAAGAAGTACAAAATTGGAGGAATGTCTTAAGAGTAGTCCTTTTAACATCTGTTCTTAAAAACTCTATTGATATGGTAGGAAAATAATAAAGAAGAGCTTAATAGTGTGTTTGGGGGTGGATGAAAAGTAGGAGTCATGTATTTTTTATCGTTTAATTGAGAAAATTTTTTCCTCCCTTGTATCGAGTAGGAGAGATGAAAAACATTATTATTTTTTTGTTTTTTGTGTTTGGTATGAATGAAAAAGTAAAAAGAAGGAAAAAATATCGATACATATTTTATTATTATCTCTTTGTACAAAATTAATGTGTATATAATATATAATTGACTAATAAAATTTCTATATAATAAAATAGAATCGTGTTTAAATTTTTATCCTACACACATTTTCCCTCTTAAAACAATCTTATCACAGCTATCACCTCACACTTAACGTTACTCTGCCCTCACATGCCCAGCCCAATACACAGCGCCTGCATTGGTTGGTTCTGACAGGAGATCAAGCACAAAGTGCAACACTCAATGGCTACTCTTGCTCTCTCATCCTCTCTCCGCTTCGCTTCTCCATCCTCCAATCTTTCTCCGCCTTCACTCACTTCAATTCCACGTTTATCACTCTTTTACTACCCCTCCTCCTCTGCTTACCCTTCTGCTCTCTCTTCCTCTCTCTTCATCTCTCCTCCTTTCCTCACTCACCCCACAAGTTCCAGACCACTTTCTCTCTCCTCCTTCACTGTGAAGGCCAGTTCTGCAGATAAAAAGAAGGTTCTCACAGTCAATACCAACAGTGGTGGGCATGCAGTCATTGGCTTCTACTTTGCAAAAAACCTTCTGGGTTCTGGCCATGAAGTCACCATAATGACCGTTGGTGAAGATTCTCCGTTCAATAGATTCTCCGTAAACATTTCAACATTATATACATACAAATGGGCACACACGGCTAAATTTACACGAATACTCAATTTGTGCTTCATTCTTTGTGTTCTATGGTGGGTATCTTGAAACTTTTGAAATCTAACAAAGATACTTAACATTTCCAGAAAAAAATACATACATACTTATCTGGGTATTTGATACTTTTTCAGGAAATAGTAAGCGCTGGTGGGGATCCCGTAGAAATTGAGAAGGTTTTGAAGGGGGCAGCTTTTGATGCAGTGTTGGATAACAATGACAACGACTTGGATAAAGTGAGGTTTGTTGCTTTTGACATTTGAAAATTGGATTTCTAATCACCATGGCAATGTCATGTCACTTGATTATATTTATAAGGCGGGCTTACATGCAGACCAACGGTTTGATTTATTTCACAGTGAGGACCATTCTTAATATACCATTTCAAACAAAAATTCTTGTTTTTCTTTTGATAAGCAAAAATGGGTTGGAGGCAAAGAGAGAGCGTTTAAAGACCATTCGATAGATTATTATTGATGAGATCATGAGGTTTTTAACTATGTCCGTTACTCCTCTCGGGAACAAATGATTAATATTTATTTCACTAATTAAAGCAAAGGACAAAAAATGTTCCAAATTGAAGTTTTTTATTTTTTTTCATTAAAGCGCCTTTAGGCATGGGTTATTACTAACGCCTTATTTTATTGTTTTAATAACTATTAAGAACCACCTTATCTAATAACTACCACGTTAAAATAGTCACTTATATTATTTAGACATAATTGAATGATCTAATTCATCACAACTATTAGATTAATTGTGGGTCTTAACAAATAGTAAAGTCCTTTGTTAATTCAATAGTTATGAATGATTAGGTTAGCAAATTAGGTTAACAAACTATGTCAAAGTAGTATTTCTCTAAAATAGTAGGATTGACCAATTGTATTTGGTGTTTTACTATTGATTCAAGATATCATGTGTCAATGATGGTGTGGGATGACCGTTATCAACAGGGGCTGGAAGAGTGCCTTGCAGTTAGTATATAATAACTTTGAGAGGAGGCAAGTTATTCCAAGATATTTGTGATATCATATTTTCAAAGAATATTTTGTCGAAAAATTGAAAGTTTCTTATATTGATTTCAATTTCTCCCAGTACTTGGTTTTTGAATTAAGCAAATTTTTTAGTAACCCAAAATGTAATTCAATACCTATTGCTTAGGTTTTGTTCATTCATTGAGAATGAAAAATTTTATGTCATTTTGTTGTGTGATTAAAGTAATCTGTGAATGAAAAATTTTATGGATTTATTTCTATTTTTTAAGAATTTTTTTTTATGTTTATCACTTTTACAAGTATTGATATAGTTGTTTGTGTAGGAAGAATAGTGTTGTAGTAATTGGTACATAATTGAATTTTAGTGTGCATATGACATGAGTTGATTATGATTATTAAATATATAAATTTTGTAGACATGTAGATATATTTGTGGTATCATATTTTCATAGGCTACTCTGAAATTGAAAATTTATTACAGAGTATCCACATTTTGACCATTTCATTTCACTAAAGTCAAATGATTTTCAGTTTATTGCATGTTTATATTCATTGTTTGACTATTTTGTGTTTAAGAACGATGTACAGTGCCCACAAACACGCGATATATGGCAAGTTTAGGCTTTCAGCTTAGTACGTATCTGAATTCAATACTTGATTATTTCATACCCAAATTCAATGTTCGATTTTTTTTAGTTGCACCATGTCTTCAGGCACGGGTTATCCCTAGTATAAATATATACTAAGAGATACAAAGGTAAATAATATTCAATTCAAAACAAATAATTAACTTTTCTTCTATTTTTTCTCTAAATGTTTTTGAGTAGACTGGTCGTTCAACTGTTTTATCATTTTTATTTTTCTTTCTTATCAAATTTAATATTTGACCAATATTACAAAATTCAAATAAACCTAAAAAGTTACAACCAAAATGCATATCAACCCTTAGGTGATATGCATTTGGGTTTCAGATAATTGGCTGTGTGTATTTTTTTTAAACTTATTTGGCTTTAAATACCACATTCAAATTTATACACTATTAAGTCATCTTTTTTTATCAAATAATTGTCAATGAGTACATATTTTAAAATATTTCAAATTCTTTTTGAAATATATTTCATAATTACTCTTACCATGAATATTGTATATCATTGTTTGTTTTAATGTTTTCAAATATAACAACTCAAAATTTAGAAATTGTGTTAGCAATAAAATTATATATATATATATATATANTTACCATGAATATTGTATATCATTGTTTGTTTTAATGTTTTCAAATATAACAACTCATAATTTAGAAATTGTGTTAGCAATAAAATTATATATATATACAATAATATAGTCAACAAAAAAATAGTAACATCAAAGAGTAATATGTTCAATAAAAAATTTAATTAAAAATTTAATCATTGTAATAGAGTGACATCATATGTGAGTATTTATTTTATTGTGGGTGTGTCACTCTATTACAATGATTAAATTTTTAATTAAGTTCTATTGAGTATGTTACTATTTGATGTTACTATTTTTTTGTTGAACGTGTTACTTTCTAATATTACTATATATATATATATATATAATATATGATAAAAACATAATTTTACTGTTTGCACAATTCTAAGTTAGGAGTTGTTAATACTAATATAATTCCCAATTTAGAAGTTATTAGTTTTTTTAAACAAGTTTTGATTTAGAAGTTAGGGTATTTTGGACAAGACTATCTAAAAATCTGATCTAATTTGTTGACCTAATGATGTGGGTTCATTAAAATTATTAGATCAACATCAAGTTTCAATGTTTGATAGGACCAACAGTTAATCCAAAGGTCATAGTGAATTAAGTAAATAAATTATATTAGTAAATTAGGTCTCAATAACATTGCTCTTTGTATAATAGAGATTAAAATAAACTTATCCCCAAACAAATTTTTTGAGTGTACTTAAGTCTAAATAAGTCTGCAAAAACGAATCGATCTCCAAAGAACCCATTAAAGTTTTAACTTTTGAATTTTATTTAGATTATATAGTATTACCCTTAATATTTTATCTATTATTTCAATATTCAATCATGCAAAATAAAAGCATAAATGTTCGAGAGACTTTTTGTCTTCTAATTATTAAACAGTAGTGAAGGGTTCATATCTTGTCATCTTTACTCAAGTACCATTCCAAGCTTATTCTTTTCCTTCAAGTTTAATTGTATGTATAATATAGTGTATCAAAATAAGATTCATGTAAATAATTTTTAAAATAGTAATCAAATAGATTTTTATTTTTTTGACAAAATTATTCTTTAAATAATTATTTGAAAAAAGAATTACCAAAGAATACTTTAATAATCTTATCTTTACAACTAAAATAAGACAACCATCAAATTAAATAATATTATTTTGATGTAATTTCGTTATCTCAATTAATTACTTAATAATTAGTTTTATTGGATTGAAAACAATTATCATTTAATATTAAGATCCAACACTACACCAATAATAATAGTGGATTAAATTCATAACATTGGTCAAATGGTTGACAAAAAAAATAAAAATCAAATGGTTAACTTTATGGTGAATGATACATTATAGTCTAAAAAATCTTCAAATTCTTAATTACATCCGATATATTGAATTTTTTACATTGCATAATAAATCAGAAAAAATTATAAAATGTGGTCCAAAACTAATCATATGTTGTTTTGTTGACAATTTGTTTTCCTATATTTTTAATATTTTTATTTGCATATACACTTATTTTTATACTATCCAATTTTAAGTATGTTTATTTTCAAAATTTTTTTTAAAGTATTTTTGTGTGAAATTGTGTACACAATTTTACTAATACACACAATCTGATTATTTTTTATTTGATTGAAAACAATGGGTGAGTATTTTAATCTTTTTAAATATAAGTTAAGAATTTTAAAAAAATTAAGACTACAACGTGACATTCGCCCATAACATTAACTTGCATTAGTTGTTCAAAGTTGAGCAATGCTATACTTATCAAATTTTATATCACAAATTAGTGGGGGTGGTTGGATTAATGAAATTCACTGATTCCACCAAACGTTCAATACATAAAATTTTGACAAATTATTTAAAATACAAGATTTAATAAATAAATTTAAATCAAGATTACTCTTGATTTTCGCTTTCATNTGAAATTCACTGATTCCACCAAACGTTCAATACATAAAATTTTGACAAATTATTTAAGATACAAGATTTAATATGAAGTGGACGGCGAGATCTATTACAAAGTATTATGCGAAAATGAAGGGTAGTCACAGGATATACAACTATGCGACAGCTGTTGTCGTAGTGGGCCACTATGTGGACTAATAAAACGATTCGACTGGTTGTTCGTGATGCAATACTTTGACTACACTAGGATCGACCATGATAGATGGTTTCACATCTTCGTACTTATTTATTTATTTATTTTTTATAATTATTGCTGTTTCTTCAAATCTTTTTTTCCCATCATATACCTTATAATAGTTTTTTCTCTTATATAGCAACTGCTCCGTGAATTTGTCATACTTTTTTCACCTAAAAAATAATACTTTTATCTTTGAATTGTTTAACAAAAAATCATTGATCTCGTATAATTAAATGTACTTATTTATCCGGGCATTGTATGGATTGGGGCCAACTTCCACCGTAATTAACTTGAAAGAACACTTTGATCCTCTTGACTTCACTTTAATCTCCAATTGACCGGTCACTTTACCAAGTATCTTGATTCACCTCAATTTGTAACGTCCCAAAAACTACTTTGGACGGCATTACAATTTAAAATCATTCATATCATGAAAGCAACTAATAAAATTCATTAATAAATAAAAATTCATTCATCATATCAAATATTTATAACATCATCCCAAAAAAATATGTCCGACTATGACAATTACATCCAAAAGAATCAAATTTAACTTTCAGCGGAATAATAAAAATATTAGATTCCACCGAGTCTCAAAATGAATGTCTTAGTCTAGCACCTAGGAGAGTATTATCCTAAGCATCCATCTCAGGTTCCACGTGCCCGTCTAGCGGAGCTTCCCAACGCACCTACTCATCGACTCCGAGTTCCTCATCTAACACGTAATCTGAAAATATATTGTTTGTAGGGGGTGAACACTAAGCTCTGTAATAACATTCCTTCCAAACTCGAACAAGGTTTAGAAAAAAAACATATAAAGCAAGGTGGTCTCATTTCGCAAATATCATACAACAATTTTGAAGTAA